GAAGCTTCACAATGGTCTTTGTGGAAATGTTTCACAGAATTTGTTGCGTATTTATTGTAATAAATTGTAAATTTGTTTGTAAACTTGGGATAGTTGTGTTCTTTTTAATCGACGCGCTGGGTGTGGAAGAATTATTAGGTCTTTATTTTCCATCTGTAAGCAGCCTCTTCTCCAGGATACAGCATGGCGTTTAGGTGGGATTCAGTACATACTGTTTAGACGTATCGTTAAGTGCACCACAGATGTTGGATATTGCCGAAGAGTACAGCCTGCAGTTCCACTGTAGCATGCCTGGATCCTTGGCCAGCTGAGGAGAGTGTGTGACGAGAGACTTGGTGTGGTAGGAACAACCAAGAGTCAAGGCTATTAAGTGCTGCAACTAGATTTTGTCTATTCATGAAGTGTGTAGATCACCTACCTCTTCGGCGCACGGATACCAATGCCAAGAATCGTAGGCTGGCAGCTCAGTAGAACAACAATCAAAGAACATTGGTGCAGAAGATAAAAGTCGAAGAGGATATTAGTAAATAAAGATATTTTAAGTCAGTGTTGAAGACCAATTTAACTAATTCATGGCATCCAATACTGATGCTCCTATCAGGCTCAATGGGCTGGATACGTGCTTTTTTCAATTCATCTTTCATATTACTAAGTGGATGGCATAAGCGTAGATTGTTTAGACGTATTTCCATGAATTTATTTGGAAAAACCTTTTCAATTCTTGCATCAATTTTTGATATAGGATTTCCATGCAGGGTCAGACGGTTTAAATTTGGCATGGTATTGCATTCACCTGTCTCAGCATCAAAGTAGCTTTGAAGACTAACCTCCAATTTGATTACCATTCAAGCAAGGTGTTCAAGACCTGTGAGGCTGGACAAGCATGGCATCTCAATCAATCCAACATCAACCAAAAACAGTGTTTTCATCTTACTGAGATCTGGATCGTTCAGTACAGTGACGTCAATTTTTGTTTTTGATATCCACAAGTACGTAGCTCCACAGAAGTCAGTGAGAAACTTCCATGCCTTGGTTGGAATATGATCAAAGTCGAACCATAATTCCGAGATTGTTGTAAGTTTAGATACCCATAGGTATGTTTTGGATCTTAGGACAACTTGCTCTTTTGGACTGCCATCTTCATTTAAAAGGTTATGCCTGCTTGGAAATCCACATCTGCTGGATTACAGTACAGTTTCATTGCCACAACTTCATGGATCTCATCTTCAATATTTGGATAATCTTCATTCTGGGTAGGATACTTTTTTTAAAGTACTCATCGATTATTCGAGTGATTCAGGATGATTCAGAAAAGTAGTAAAGCGGCCAGTTGTATCCTTGAAAACTCTGGACTTAGAAATTGAACTGGCCGAGGTGTTGTCGGATTCATTGCCTGGAGTGGAAGTACTTTGGAGCTGTTTTTCTGAAGGCTCTTGTCCATAGTCCACCACAGTGCAGCAGGCATCTGTGGAGAATAGGATAGGAAATCCAACATGCAGTGCTCTGATCAGATCAGTTACGGTTTTTATATTGTACAAAACTTGATCGATTTGATTTATCATTAGTATGAG